GCGCCCCATCAAAGATGGTGTCCCTCAGGGCTCAGTACTTGCTCCTCTCCTGTACATCCTGTTCACCAACGACTTTCCCATCCCATCGAAAGGTTTCAGCTCTCCCTCTTCACAGATGACACTGCCCTCTACTGTAAAGGTATCTCGCTACCTTTCATACAGAATAAGATCCAAAAGTCAGTTGATGACCTAGGAGCTTGGTTTCAAAAATGGCGCACCGATGTGAACCCGGAGAAGAGCTCCGCCGTTCACTTCGACTATAAACGACGCCGTCTCAAAAACACTCCACCAATACGAATGCTAGGGACCCCTGTCCCCTGGCATACGTCTGCCAAATATTTAGGCGTCACCCTTGACACAAGGCTCACTTTCAGGCCCCATGTCGAAAGAGTAACTCGTCACGCACGTTTTTACCTGAGTAGGCTCAACAGTATGTTGGGCCGACACAGTAAAATGTCCCTCAGAAACAAGCGTACCCTTTATACGGTCTGTATACGACCAGTCATGTCCTACGCGGGCCCCATTTTTGCCCACGCTGACCCTAAAATTATTAATGAACTCCAAGTAGTTCAAAACCTCTTCTGTCGTCGAGCTGCGAACGCACCTTGGTACGTCCGTAATGCCGACCTTCATCGGGACTTAGAGCTCCCTACAATCCAACAATTTCTAAAAAAGCTCTCTGAGAACTTCTTCAAAGCCTCAGATACGCATTCCAATCATTTTATTCGTGAGGCAGCTACTTATGCATCCCCAACTCTCGGTATCGAGTCCGCAGGCCGAGAAACTCTCTCTCGGACCCGCCAAATAAACTTTCAACCGACCTGAACTGCCTCCTGGCGGCTCAGTCCGATTCTTCTTAAATTTGCCTAAGTAGGCTCTCCCTCAGCGGCTCTTTGTAGCCGCTTGCGCCCTCTTTTCCCAAAAGAGGGTCATTTCCGATCCGACAAAGCGGCTTAATCGGCCAATTGTTAGTCCCACAGACGGTTTTTAGTGGGTATCACTTAGACTCCCGGTTATGTTAGACACAGTGAGTCCCACATAACCACGACAGACCGGCTGTCGTGGTATGCATAAAGCATTTACCGCCTTCCCGCGTAATAGGGTAGCCCTTTTTCCAATTGCTTCTGGGCGCAAAAAAAAAATTATTTTGTGTATTTGACGGTATAACATTGTTTACAAGAATTTACTATATTTTGTAACTATGGTGATGACACTTATATACATAATTTAACGTGTTCGTGGAAATCTAATAAACTCATCAAATTAACTGCTCATATTATAATTAATCCTGTATAATTTTTATAACCTCTAAATTTATTGGGATTAAATGTATGTAAACAAAATAAATAAAAATCTGATAAAGTGACTTGAAAACACTCTACAATCATTTTCCTTGTAATAAATTAAAGCAATGATAAGATGTTATGATAACCCATATAGCTTTGACCATAGCGTATAATTTATAAATAATATTTAATATGGATTGAAAGAAGTATTTTATGGAAATATTTGCATTTCAAGAGGATATTGAATGTAATGTATAAGTTAAGTTTTATAACTGTTCAAATTAAGGAAACCGCAGACCTATGGGGAATTTCTTTATGCAATTGCTCCTCAACTACTACTTATCGGTGAAACATAGTAAAGTCATACATTTATTCAAGTGTGGTAGTACATTGAATCCCGCTGATTGAGGACCTATTTGTCACTTTAAATAATATAAAGAAAATCAATTTGGGTTTAAGGTGTCGCTTGACGACTAACGTCGGTTTCAATATTATTAAATTAATTTTTAACGATCTTTAAATTCACAGGATGTTTTGGGTGTTTTTGGTAGCGTTTCCAAGGTCTGAGACTGTGTTTATCACGAGACATTAATCAGGAAACTACAACATTACGTCGTAAATAATGTTACTCTTAAATTTATTGGTCACTTATAAGAACACTAAAAGCTATTATCATCGGTAATCATTCTTACGAGTCAATAGTATCAATGGGTTTTCCACAGGGTTCATTTCTTGGTACATTGTTATTTTAAATTTATATTATTGACATACCTTACCATGTAACGGGTAATCACGTTATAGTGTTATTTGCTGATGATACTTCATTCAATCTCTAACTAATTTTAGGTTTGAAAATCTATAGCAATTATATTATAAAATCATTTTACCATCAAACGAGCACAGTCCACTTGAGGGTAAGTGGATTTTGTGGACATAGACAAGACCCGAATAAGAATCAAAATGCAGATGGGTTGTCAAGTTTGAATGTGAATGCCTTGTTACCTATAAAAAGGCTTTCCGGTTCTCTACATTCACCATTAGAAACGCAGCAGCAATAAGCTGCTATGTTACGCCGGCATTTTGGGAGAGATTGGTCCTCCCCCGGTCAAGCCGACCCTCATAACGCAACAATCATAATATAGCTGCAGCGTGGTTCTATTATTTAAAAATCCAATTCAGCGAGGCCAATGTCATAGATATGTTTTCTCGAATGGCTAAATGTTAGATCGATTGAGTTGAACACAAATATCGGTAGATTTTTGTATCTAAAATCGGTATGCCATCAAAAACATAACTTTTTTGATGGCATACCGATTTGAACAAACCAAGTCTCGCAACCTAGTTCTTCTACCGTAAAAAGTTGTGAGATATACCACTACAGCAATTGAATTTCTGGTATAAAGCCAATTATTATTTAATAACTTAAAACTAAAAGCAATACGCTTTCATTGCATCATTTGATTTTTTAAGCCACAAATTGTTTGTTGGTCCTAATCATAGTTATTTATTTTACCTAGTGTATGTCGTTGAGGTATTAAGTCTCAACGGTTTATATGACCTGAAACCTGATATAATTTTTTCACAATCCGAATGTATTCACACGGGTAAAATATAGGTAATAAAAGTTTACTACACGTCTGAGGTATATAAATTATAAATATTTCAAGGACACGTGGACATTGTGTCAACGCGCACTGGAGCAGCACGACGGACTCATTGTTTCATAACCTCTTAGAAATGAAAGGAGGCCTGCAGCATTGGGATGTGTATAAGCTGTAACTGCATTATATATATATATAAATTATAATTAATATTAATATAAAATTTACTTTATTAATTGTAATTATTTGTTCGTGTTGAACGTGGTTGTAGCACGAATATTAGATCGACTCGACCAGAGCTCCACGCTCTCACAGAATACCAGCATAGAATATCAGCTGTTTCGTATGTGGTGAATGTAGAGAACCGGAGACCCTTTTTAATGGAAACGATGCATTTCATCTTAGTCCTCAGGGGTGACAACGCATTTTATAGTTTTATAGTCAAGATAAATGTAGATTTCTATGGGCCTCAGCACTGGACTGTGTGCTTGCTTGTCACCCTACTCTATAAAAAAAATTGTGCACTAGTTTCAATTTATGACCTTCAAATTGAGCGGCCATTACGCCTTATACGCATAACGAAATCACATATTATCAATAAAACAATCTAATTGTAAGTCTGTACATGATGCAAGTGAGGTATTAACTTAAAGGTGATAGGGTGAAGCTCCGTATATTTTTGTTAAACATACATTCATTTAATATTACCTACCTACCTTCGCGAACAATCTATTGATCCGAACAATGGTATCAATAATGAGTTGATTGAGTAATACTTAATTAAATCTAATTTTAAATACATTTAACTATTACTATACAATTTAAAACAATTCTGGAATATATCGAACTGACATAAAATTGGTTTCAACGCGTGAGTGTAAAATCGATAACCTTGAGATTTAAATCAAACATGAGAAATAAGGAAAGTACGACAGATATAAAGTAGTAAAGTTACTATATACGCCCCACGGCTAGGTTCAGGCCTCCTTTTACTTCTCAGAGGTTCGTTCGCCGTGCTGCCCCAATGCGTGTTGGCAGACTTCACATGTCTCCGAAATATTTGTTTTTATTTCTCTGACACGCCGGTTTCCTCACGATGTTTTCCTTCACTGCTGAGTAGGGGGTAAATCAACACTTAAAATTACGATTAACAAGTTTCATTGGTGCAGGCCCCTGAGCTACCACAACAGATTAAAAAAAATTAAAAAAAACAACAACTAGACCATGTTATGTAGAAACTTGAAGCCATAAAGTTTTAAGTGAGTAAAGTCTTTCATGCTTGGAAATAAACTGTAAAAGAGCCTCTGGATCATTAGTTTGGCCAGTTCGTGGGATCATATCTGCATGACACTGTCCAATTGACCAAAAGAAAATAAATAAAAGGAAATATTTTTAACCGCCAACGAAAACAGAGCGGTGTTATATATGTTTGTAGTGTGTATCTGTGTGTCTGTATGTGGCATCGCAGCTCCTGAAAGTATGAACCGGTTTTGATTAAGTTTCTTTTCATTTGAAAGGTGTCTTGATCGAGAGTATTCTTAGGTATGTTTTAATAAAATGTGTTCAGTCGTTTGAAGATTATTAACTCTTTTTTTTTGATGTTTTTTAAATTTTTAATTTAACTTAAGCTAATTTAAACCTACTTAGATACTTATATGAGGCATGTTTATGCAGTATTAATAGGTGGTGATTACGTTAGCCGAAGAGGAACCTATTCTATGCGAAAAGAATAGATCAATATATACTCTCTATGGTGAAGAGTGACGTCGGCAAAAAGAGTTTCAACCATTTGCTGTTCGCTCAAAAAACTGCATGGTCCGTTCCCAATTTATCCGCTTGTTTCAGCTGGGCTGGATGGACATGATTATGATGATGATGGTGGTGACGATACTATATTCTTATGTAAAACTTATTCGAGGTTATTTTTTTAAATAAAGAGGAAAGAATGATAACACAATTTTTTTAATTCACACACAAAAGGAAAATTAACAAAACTAATGCTAGGAACAATCTTACATGTATAACGGTCCCACGCAAAAGAAGGGCGATCGCGTCGCGCGCATTGTTTTTATACCATTAGGGCTTGCAGGGGAAGGGAGACTTCTATCTTCTACTACACGGCCTCTCCTGACAGGAGACCGTCATCGGGCTCCCTTTCTCTTTGAATATCGGCCTCATCACTGGGGCCAAAGAGTGCAGGCGTCGCGTCGATCACAGGTGACGCGCTCGGTGATGGCTCGTCGTTGTAGCTTGTGACGTAGGCTCTGGGTGTCGGCGCGGAGGGTCTCTCTATTCTTGACGTTTCCGTCTGCTGCTCTTCCTCTACATCCTGCCCCAAGCCTACAGCGTCAAGTGGCTTAGGTCTTGGAGACTGTCCTTTTACAAGTTGAGACTCCTCGGCAGTGGACTCTTCGCCTTCAATGTCTGCGTCTGTTAACAAGGTATACCATAACCATTATGTTAACGAAAACATTATCTCTTCGTTAGCACAACATATCGTCTGAGTGAGTCATAGGCACTACGTTCGCATAACATAATAAAATAACTGAGTAAGTCATAGGCACTACGTTAGCATAACTTAAACTAGGCGCGACAGAGGCACGACGTTAGCTTGTCCGCTTTTCATCATACATTTGAGAAAGAGGCACAACGTTAGCGTATCTCAATATTACTCATTCAGAAAGGAAGCACTACGTTAGCTATTTCTGACAAGTGTAACTACTCACCCTCAAAGTAAGCAGCACACACCTCGGGCGTCCACTCGCCGCGCCACGGAACCATGTACTCCGCAGCTGCTTGAGTCGTCTTCCCATAGGAGCCGGCGACGAGTTGGAGCTCGTAGCGTCCGTAGGGCAGGACATTTACCACGCGATATGGTCCTCGCATACAAGAGTCCAACTTGCCAGTTGCCTGCGACTGTTTTCTGACAAAAACTAGTGAGTTCAATTCAAAACCACGGGGCGGGTTTCTCCTTTGGTTAACGTAAGTATCTTGTTTGCGTTGGTTACGTTGAAGTCGTTCCGTGGCCCTTTGACGATTCATTTCACGAAAAGTCTCTCTGTTGGGGCTTGATCCTTCAAGTGCTACGTCACGCACTACGCTTCGTATTAGTGGTGTCGCAGCATCGATACCAACCAGCAGATTCAACACAAATTACATGGGGTAAAGAAGACAGAGTTTTGAAAATGCATCTATTACAATAAGGACATATTGATAACCATCTGCCTTGGGAAGGGGCCCTAAAGCATCTATATGGATGGTTTCAAAAGGCAATTTTGGTTTTTCCCACGAATAAATTGCTTGCAAAGGAGCGCGTGCAACCTTTTTATGCGAAATGCACACTAGACAATGTGAAATGTACTTCTGAATAAACTTTCGTAATCCCGGGAACCAAAAATGCTTTGATATTAGGTCGAAAGTTTTATCACTCCCCAAATGATCATGTTCGTCATGAAACACTCTAAGTAAACTCAATCTATGTCCCTTAGGAATGTAGCATAGAAATCGAGAATGTTCCCCGGTAGGGGAATAATGAACATACAAAAGACCGTTTTTAATTACGTATCGAGAGGGGTCTAACTGTCCGTTAGTTAGTTTCTGTATTAGAGTCTGCGTCTCCTCATCAGATGCTTGAGCAATGCGTGCCCAATTTAGGGGCTTTTCCACAGAACAAACATTGACCGGATTCTGACTTAAATAATCGACAAGTGACATAAAGGAACCCTTACGGTATTCTAAAGCAAAATCAAAATCTTGTAGGTACAGCCACCACCGGGCCACCCTGGGTAATAAATCCTTTTTACGTTGAGTAAGTTTAAGCGCGTTACAGTCAGTGACCACGGTGAAACGTATACCGACAAGATAATGCCTGAAGTGCTGCAAGGCTCGGACTACCGCAAGAGTTTCGAGCTCATATGAATGATACTTATTTTCAGCTCCCTGCGTCAATTTGCTGAAATAAGCTACCACTCGCTTATGCCCACCCTCGTGTATTTGCATAAGGACAGCCCCATACCCAATGGAGCTTGCGTCTGTGTGAACTTCAATCGGCAGGGAAGGATCATATACTGCAAGTACAGGTTCGCTCGTTAACCACTCAATAATATCCTTACGAGCCGATTGCTGCTCCACACCCCACTTAAATTCAGCTCCTTTTCGTGTTAAGGCCGCAATACATGCAGTTTTCTGAGCGAAGTCAGTTATATATCTGCGAAAATAGCTGGCCAAGCCCATGAACTGGCGAACTTGCTTGACACCTTTCGGCTCAGGGCTATTCATCAAAGCCTTGACTTTATTTCGGCTCGGTCGTACCTGACCCTCACTTATACAACGGCCTAAGTATTCAATTTCTATTGACAGAAAAGAACATTTTTTCAAATTAATTGAGAAACCCGCTTGCGTTAAAGTCGTAAGTACGTCGCGTAAAAGATCGAGCCCCTGTTTTATGGTCTTACTGAGAATCAAAACGTCGTCAATATACACCAGTATGTCACCAGATTCAATAAATTCACGAAGGGTTTTTGTTATAATGCGTTGATATACAATCGGTGAGTTGGCCAAACCGTAAGGCATCTTTAAATATTCATAGTGCCCCTCGGGCGTAACAAACCCCGTAAGAGGGACCGATTCTGTTTCCAGAGGGATCTGGTGAAATCCCGTTGCCATATCAAGGCTTGTAAAATACTTATTTTGTCCTAATCGATCGATATGATCATCGATCCTCGGTAACGGGAACCGATCCTTGACGGTAGCTTCATTGAGTTTACGGAAATCTATGCACATGCGGTCCGATCCCTCTTTCTTTTTAACAAGAAGGATCGGACTCGCATATTCGGACTCTGACTCTTGGATAATTTTTTTTTCTAACAGATCTTTAATTATGTCCCGAACGCGAAGGATTTCAGCAAAAGCAAGACGGTATGGTCTATAGTTAATTGGAGTATAGTTGCTTAATTTAATTGACATGCTACCGGTTTTTACAGTGGACGTAGCAGTTCCCGATATGAAATATTCTGCAAATTCATTGATGATTACCAGTAACTGCTGCAAATGATTACCAACAAGAGGTGTCTTAACAGGAATAGACGGTTCTGACAGAACAGTCATCACGCTGCTTGATTTACTCGTTTCCCTCACAAGTAACTGAAAATCACGCGTACGAACATATTGAACGCCTTCCCTGTTAAGAACATCTGTGCCTACTATAATCGGCGAATTCATGAACTCTGAGGCCACCACGAAAAAATCTACTTCGAAGGTTAGATCATCAAACTCGATTGGTAAAGTTACGTACAACGTGCTTTCGAGTTCTTGACTTCCCAGTCCCTTTAACACTCGAAACGCTGGCTTACGTGAACAATCAAAATGCTTCAACAAGGATGACGAAATAAGCGATATAGTTGACCCGCTGTCAATTAAAATATCTACCGGCACTTCCTGAATAACGGCTACCATAACGTCACTATTGCGGGTATTTTGATTTTCGCGACAAAAGTTTACCTCATTTTTGTTACGTAACTCTGACTTATGCTTAGCGAAACAGGTTTCAATTTTATGGCCGACCTTTTTACAGAAAGAACATATTTCAGGCTTAGATGGCACAAAGACAGGCTTTGAACTTTCCCTACTGGAGGTTTTAGAGTGGCTTTCACCTTTTTCAACTTTAAGTTTTTTATTACAATTAGACTGTCTATGTCCCGATTGGCCACACAAAAAGCACCGTCCTTCGTCAAAACGTCTTTTAACTCGTAACTGCGAATATCAGTTACCACTTTTTTCGTCTAGCTAACACTTTTCACTATATGTAACTGCGAATTTTCAGTTACCACTTTTTTCGGCTAGCTAACACTTTTTCATTATATGTAACTGCGAATTTTCAGTTACCACTTTTTTCGGCTAGCTAACACTTTTTTACTATATGCAACTGCGAATTTTCAGTTGCCACTTTTTTCGACTATGTGTAACTGCGAATTTCAGTTACGACCTTTTTCGGCGAGCTAACACTTTTTCTAATTCACTATTACTGTTCACTATGTTCTGCTACTAGTCACTTCAGCTACTACCGGATACTACTGCTTGTCACTGGTAGTTCTTCCTACTACAACGTTACTGGGTTTCGCCCCATAAGGTAGACTTCGGTTATACTGTATAGTGAGCCGCTTGCCATTTTCCGTTTTGCCTCTTTATTTAAAAAAAAATTCACTATGTAATTGGCACAAATTGCAATATTTTCTATACAACACTAATTTCTACACTAACATGCTATACATCATTAAATGGGCATTTTGGTCCTTTATCAGTATATGATAAAGCTTACTCAATATATTTACATTTAAAAAAGTTATTAAACGAAATGTCCCAAATTTTCATAACAAATGGGTACATTAATTCTTTAATTTTTCTATAACTATCAAATGCGTTTAATTATACAAATTATTTCTTCACTATCGTAATCTATATATCATATGCTAACTAAATGTCATATTTACATTGAGTTATATGTACTATGTACTAGAGAAGCCATTCCGAACATTGACTATGTTCAACTGAACTGTAGTGCAATCCATACAAACTAAATATTGCGTAAATTGAAGATTTGTGCATTCTATAAAATAATAATTATTACGTTTTATTTAGAAATATGTTTGTTTAGATTAAATTAATATATTTTATATTAAATTAAAGCCTTCGCGCATGCGCGACTACTACTCCCGCGCATGCGCGATGACGTAGTGTAGGACACAATTTTTGTTTGGAATGGCTTCTCTAGTACGTAGTACATATAACTCAATGCATATTTACAACTCTTTTAGAACACAAAAATATTCTCATTATTTTTAGTATAAACTATTGCGCAGTTAATTAAATTTCCAGAAAGTTCTACGATACGACGCGCTGTGATTGGTCGATTTTTTCTTAAACAACTAAAGTTGTTTATATTATCTATTATGAAAACGACATTCTATACAAATATATTAAGAGTTATAAACATGTTGTAAAACTATATTAACAAACTATTTACTCGATTTCGTTGGTAATTTCACTTTTTATACAAAACAATATTCTTTCATCACTTTGTTTCTTAAAGTCATTAGGCCGTCGCGAACAATTACACTGCCATTTACATTCAGTGGCTTCCCACATGATAGATGAAGAGACGTAATAATTCTATGTGAAGAGATTAAAAAATAGATTGAGTTAAACAATTGATATTGGGCATGATAAATCCACACCATAAGCCACTAAAACCCCTTTTTTTATTTAAAAATAGCAATTAATCGATTTAAAAAAAATATTAATAAGTTCAACAATCATTTATCTTTTTAACAATGTGCTCTTTATATCATTTATATGTATAATATGAATGCTAGATACGATTTTATTCGATAAAACGTTGGAATCTTAATTTTTAGGCGATAGTAGAACATACCTTGCGCTTTCGCTTAAGGTATGCAATATATTAAAGAATAGTTGTGTCTGTAATTCTAATAATAATATTGTCTATAAGAAACAAGTCTAGGAGGTTATACAGTAATATAAAAGACACTGAAGTGAAATTAGTATAATTAGTAAAATTATTTGGACTTATTTAAAGCTTGAAATTTTATTATAATATACTAAAAGCGTCGTCCGAATAAGCATCCTGAAATCAGCTTTGATCATAACATGTTACCCTGTCAGTGTTCTAATGTAGTCTTAGCTCAAAGCAAGGCATTCCAAAAGTTAGATTTTATTGAAATTGTTTTGATAAAACTCTCGCCTCTAACATGTAACATGGAATGTAATTTTAAATGTTTAACAGTGATAATCTCTCATTCGTTTCTGTTAGTAGCCAAAATAGATTATTATGACTTCTCGTAAAATAATATTCAAAGCATTTGCACGAAAGTTTGGTTCAAACGGACGGGAATTTCCGGAAATGTTTTTTGTTACAATCGGAATTAGGTTTTTGTGCTTGTACGAAATGCTTACATAATTTTTTTATCCCAATTAACAATATACAAGCTGATGTAAGGAAAACAAAACAACTTTAAGTTATTTAT